CGAATGTGTTTCTACAGGAAGGCACCGCACGAAGCCGGGCACGGGTGTGGTGGGGGTGGGGGCCTGCGTGGGTGGGGCGGGTGCGGGCGTGCAGATGGATCCCCTCTGCATCCTGCTCCCACCGCTCCTCCGCACACACCCGTTTCTCCTCGTCCCCGGCTGCTGCGTGCCTTCCTGTAGAAACACATTCGGCGCTGATGAGAGCGCTTTGCAAGTTAAAATACAATGGAGGCATACGGGCCCCCTCCCCCTACTCATCCCCCCCCCCCCCATTCTGGGTAGTTGAGGTTTTGAGGGTGTAAGCCTGAATTTCGTGGCGATTGTGCTCCCTTCCATGACTTCCTCGCTGCCACTCCCGGGTGCTAGGCCTTTAATAGAAGTTGTAAGGATTGGGGTGGGGTGGGGGCAAACAGGTCATTTAAACTTTGCATTTTGCACGGGATCGTTTGTGCAGATGTCCTTTTCCCAGAAGGGTTGCTCGGAGTTAAAATAGTTGTGGAGTTCAGTGATATAAATAGCCAAAGAGAGAGGGATTTCATAAAAGCTTGCAGGGGAGAAAATGCATGGAGACTACCCGGTTGGGAATTATTTTGCAAGAACTAGGTAAAGGAAAAGTGAGGGTTAATGGCCTTTGAGAGGCAGTTATCTTTGTACATTTTTGTCTTGAGGTCCTTCAGCTAGTAGAGTAATTCTAGATTGAGATTCAGTTTTTTTTTTCTTTTTTCCCCAGAAATCCGGGAGTATTCCCCCCCCCCCATTTCATTTCCTCTTCAGTCATGGGCAGTTTCTGAGATTAAACCAATCTTCCTCGTCTTTTCAATACTTATTGAGATAATAGAATTTTTAAAGAAGTTAAGTTGGGTCGATTTACAGTTTGCCATGCAAACAAGTTGCCCTTTGACCTTGCCGAACAATGAAATGAAAATTGGAACTGTTTTGTAGATGACAAATGGCCAAAGTTGGTCTTTCCGGGCGCTTTGGGTGTCTGCTAGGTGAAGGGAGGCTGAAGCAGCATCCTCTGACCAGCTCTTCCTAAGCATTCATTGCCACCCCTTTTCCTGTGTGTGCAGCCAGTGATTTGCTCCTAATGAATGTAAAGAAATGGGTGTTGTGTTTGCTGTGTGTGTGCTTCGGTGGTAGGGTTTGCATGAATCATTCTTCCTCTCAGGCAGTAATGTTCCCGAAGTTTTCTCTTCGTTCTATTTTTCATGGTAGCTTAGCCTTATAACTCTTCTGTAGGCCTTTTGTACACTTAAAGGAAATCTAACTTTTGGTATTTAGTTTTCTTCTGATGGGTCTTACTTAAAAGGCTCTGACTGTCTTAAAGGGGCAGAGAAAGTGAGGTTTTGAATATCTGTACGATGATAATGTTTGATAGACCGTCTTTGAATATTTCATACCTGCCATGTTGTTTTTAATGCTCTACCAACTATTGGAGCCTAATTTGGTTCCAAGTCCGTGGGTTCCTTGCTGGCTGTGTATGTGGGGAGTATCATCATGCTAGTTTCAGATACCATCTCTGTGCTTATGAGAGTAAACAGAACAGAACTCCGTTTTAATTGTTGTGTTTTCTTCTTCAGGAGCTGGAGGAGGGAATGACATTCAGTGGTGTTTTTCTCAGGTGAAAGGAGCCGTAGATGATGATGTAGCAGAAGGTAAGAAAGTTTAACAATGGCAACTGAGTACTGATTTAGGCGTTCTGGATACTGAAGGAACACGGATTAAACTGAGCTTGTTACACTGGAAGAATGTTTTCTGTTTGTTGTCCAAGAGGTGGGACAACACTTTTAAAAATCACCTTTTTGGAAAAGTTTTTATATCTTTTTATGTCGTTTTGTTTATATTTTTTCATTGAGTTAATGAAGTAAATGGTGTGCAGTAAGTGCTCTGAGGTTTGTGTAATTAAGGTTTCCCTGCTACATAAATTGTACGTGCGGATAACTGGACTTTCATGTTTGTGTTGTATCTCTAGATAATTAAGTAGAAATAGATGCCAACAACACTTAGCTCAGAAATATTCCGACAGCATCCTTTATTCTATGGGGAAACTGAGGTTCTTTTGAACTTAAATACTTTGGGATTGTAATATTGGTTACATGTTTGCTAAGAAAATGCTGGCTCAAATTATTTACTTTATTATCTTGCAGGAATTGTATGTGTGGTTAACATAGATAAGATAGAATAGTAAATCACTTTTCTAGGGGATTTTTTGAGATAGAACCTTGCTAATTTATTTCAGAACTTCTCTGAAGTTTTGGAGTGTGAAGGTCTTCCACTCATTTTGAGATGATCTTTTGTGGTAGAGACAGATAATCTGCAAAAGAATGATTACATTATTTCTTTCTTCAGAAATATTTATGAAGTTTGTAGGATTGGAGTGTGTGTGTGTGTGTGTGTGTGTGAGTGAGTGTGTGTGTGTGAGTGAGTGAGTGAGAGAGAGAGAGAGAGAGAGGCACAGGCAGACTGGCAGACAGACAGTGTGACAGTATCCCTGACTGACCTTGAACTCAAAGATCTCTCTTTGCCCAGTTGTGGAATTTTTCTAAACAGAGAAAAGTTAAAGCCTGAACTTCTGGTTTTAAAAGGTTGTCTGTGAAAATGTATGACCTTTTCTCTAGATTGTACCTTTCTCTGGTGAGGTTGTGGTTCCTCCCTGCTATCCACGGAGTGCTTTTGTGAGGATTTTTTTTTTAGGTGGTAGGGTGAAGACTGTTGACTAACCAGATGTTTGTGTGGTGACATTTGTCACTGGTGTGTGCTCAGTACTGTGAGTCCTATAGAAAGTCACTAGCGTACTTATCATATTTTACGGAGTCTCCCACCTTTGTTTTTTTGGTGGTTCCTCATTCCTTTATCACATGAGAAACCAGAAACTCGGAAAAATTAAAGAATTTGATAGAGTGACTCAGTGATGGTCACACAATCAGTGTGTTCTGGTTTTCTTTTGAACTCATTTAAAGAAATCTGTGTTCAAGGGAGGAGTCGAGTATTACTGATTTTGTAACTCCATTACCTGTTGAGCAGTAGACACTCAGATATTGGATCTTCAATTCTGTGTTGTGTAATACTCACCACGTTATGAAAGTGCTTTGCACTTGGAAAACAGTCCTTGGTTGCATTGTTTATTCCCCTTATCAAAGGTCTCTTGAATACTGAGAGCCGGGGTTTGTGCTGTCTGCCCTTAAGAAACTCAGTTGCTTGTTAATCGTGGGGCAGAAGACCTCACGTTAATCAGCAGAAATTGATTTTCTAAGCTGAACATCAGTCACCTAACTGAAACAAGTGATAGTTTGTGATTGTACACACAAATATATATGACAGATCAGTTTTAATTCTTGTTTGTTAGTACTTAATAGCTTCACTTTACTCTTGATTCATTAAGTAGCTTTCTAAGTTACATACTGTAATGACAACACATTCTTAATATCTTAAAATGTGAAGACTTGGAGTGTGTGCTTTGGGAAGAACAGGACTTGTTCTAGTACCATGTCTTAACAAGTACATAAATAGCATTGTTTCAAGTTATTCTGCTTTGATTTGCAGATTCTTGGAAACTGTAGTTTATATATCTTTGTCTACTATGTTTATCAAAAGGAAGTTTTGCTTTTCTAACATAGAATGTGATTATTATACAGGGCCCATAGATATAGATTATAATCTTTAAAGAAAAAAGCTCCACCTTTAGATAGCCTTCTTTCTGCTAACAATACCTTCTAATGTTTTAGCTGTCAGTGGCTTATGATGAGTGAATGTCCCCTTGCAGCCAGACATCTGCCAGGGCATGCTGATTTACCTGTAATGCTTTCATCTTCTATACCTGCCTTCATCATTGTCCAGTTTTGATCCATTCTGGGTGGAATATAGTTTTGCTTTTTTGACACAAGGTTTCTCCATAGTCCTGGTTGTCCTTGAACTATATCCATAGACCAGGCTGTCTTTGTACACAGATCCACTTGCTTTTTCCTCCTCAGTGCTGGGATTAAAGGTGTGGCTTCCATACCCAGCTGTCGTAACTCTTAAATAAGTCTCATTTTCTTCATGGTTTTACTTCTAAGTTAATTTGAAACACAATCCTTTTTGTCATTTTTCTCAGAAATATTTAGTGGATCATTGAATCCATTGGATTAGAAACTAAATTTCGGCTGGTAAAATGTGACATTTCTTCAGTAAGGTTTCTCTTAAGCTAAGGACGTCACTGAACTGATACTGTATAAGCAAACTTTATGCACTGTACTTGTGATTGTTTTTGCTGTTCTGGGGATTGAACCAGAGCCTTGTGCATGTTAGGCAATTGCTGTACCACTCAAGTACATCCCCAGCTTGCTGATCCCATACTGATATATCTGACGTCCTCCTACAATTGTTCTCTTATCAGAATCCTACTCATCCTCAGTCACACCTATAACCTTTTAATTACCTCTTGTGGAAATCATTTTTAAAATCTCTCTTACAGCACTTTGTTAAGTAAATACTATATTTAGTGCCTTGAACCTTTACTGTTACACTGAGCCTAGATCCAGACTGATCTTTGCTTCTCTGCAAATGTCCTAAGTAAACTGCTCTGCTTAGAACAATGCCTGGCACCCAGTAGGGATTGACTATCATGAGTAAAAAAGTCAGTGCCGCTTTTGCTAGGTTTTTGTTTCTTTTTCTTTTTTTTTAAAATTTTATTATTACGTATATAGTGTTGTGGGCACCAGATCTCATTATAGATGGGTGTGAGTCACCATGTGGTTGCTGGGAATTGAACTCAGGACCTCTGGAACAGCAGTCAGTTCTCTTAACCTCTGAGCCATCTCTCCAGCCCCGTTTGTTTGTTTTTCGATACAGGGTTTCTCTGTGTAGCTTTGGTGCCTGTCCTAGAACTTGCTCTGTAGCCCAGGCTGGCCTCAAACTCACAGACCTGCCTGTCTCTGCCTTCAAGTGCTGGGATTAAAGGTGTGTGCCACCACTGCCCAGCTACTTTTGCTAGGTTTTTGAAAGGAAAAGAAGAGATATAGAATATAGAATAGTTGGGGATGAACATTTTATTTACTTGGCAGCCTTTCTGTTTCTGGTTTGCAGTTTTGTAATACAGAAAAGTCAGGAGTCTTGCTCTGGATCAGGGCCCTTCTGAGTTCCTGTACTTAGACATTAAAAAGACAAGGACTGGATGAAGTAATTTCTGCTGTTTTCTTTCTGCCCTTGTTAGTTTCCTACAATGTCTGAAAGAGATAGCCCTATATTATTACTACTGATAAGTCTAATGATGCTGACTCGATAGGGACCTTAATTAATAAGTTCTAACTGGACTGACTTCTCAAGGCCCAGGAATTTTAGTACAGAACAGAGCTTGACACTCATCCACAGGCTCTTGCTGTCTTTGGCCCACTTAGGTCTTCAAGGCAGGATACCCATGCTACAATACTGTTTGTTCTATCTACGTCGGTCTGCAGGCATGCAGCGTATGTGTTTTACCTTGGAATAGCTCCTTGTTTGAGAGGCAGTTGAGACACTAAACTCTGTGGTTCTGGTTTTCTCGTGCTGTGGATTTCAGGTAGTCTTTAAGGTCACTATAACACTACTGTACTTTATTTAAGTCTTTGATTTTTTTCCTTGATCTGTAACACCACTGTGGTGTTGGGCACATCAGTTCACCTGTGCTTCTTCCTCCATTATAAAAGACTTACTGTAAACCCTACCTTAGTGCTATTTTGATGTGTAAATGAGCTTATACCTATAAAACAGAACTATCTTGACTTATAAGAATAGGCAGACTTGTTTTGTTTTTGAGACATGATCTCACATGCAGGTCTGGCTGACCTGGAACTTGCTTCCTGGCCTTGAACTTACAGAGATCCATCTCCACCTACTGGCCTGTTTGTTTTGAGACTGGGGTCTCTTGTGACTTTAAATTCTTATGTGGTGTAGTCTATGCAGGAGTTGAACTCAAGATCTTCCTGCCCCAGTGCTGGTATTGCTGGTATTACAGGTGTCCATGAACGTGCCCTTCTTGAGAGTCTTGTAAAGATTTATTGTTACTTCAGTGCTTGGACAAGTAAGGCATAATTAGAGTGTGAGGAAACTGGGGGATTGTCTTACTATTTGATTATGTGTGTGGCTGTTTTGCCTGCACATACGTCTTTGTACTATGTGTGTGCTTTTAGTATATGAAGGCCAGACAATCTAGACTTGTAGTCGTAGATAGTTGTGAGTTGCTATGTGGGTGCTGGTAATTGGACTGGGGTTCTCTGGAAGAGTAGCTAGTGTTCGTATCTCCTGAGCCATCTCTATAGCTCCTAGAGTATGTGTAGTCTTTAAAATAGCTACTTAAGCTTTGTTGGCCAAAGTGAAGGCATGGTGAATATTATGTGTGAAACCTCAAACTCTATACAGCTGTGTATGGTCTAACTTCTGATCCTCTTGCTTCTACCTCCTGAATGCTGGGGTTATAGACCAATGCCACTATGCTTGGACTTTTTAAAAAGTCTTTAGTGTAATGAGTTTATGACATCTTCAATGTATGTAACATTGTACTTTGTTTTTATTTGCTCCTCTCATTATACACATTCTTTGAGTGCACTAGCAAAGTCTAAACAAATAGAAGACTGAACTGTAGATTAGAGAAAAATATGAAGCTGGTAAGATCACAAAAGGAAGGTACTAATTGGCATAA